TCAGAAGCGGGGCAGTTGGGTTGGATCAGGCCGGTAGGCAGAGTGGTTAGGGACGATCAGACAGGCAGGCAGGCGAGTGGTTGGGAGCCAGTGATCCCACAGGAATCAGGCCTAAACTGGCAGTCGGACATCCCCCGAAGGGTCCCAGATTGGAGAGGGTATGGGCCTGGCTGAGGGACACCCTCCTCATGCACAAATTTCATGCACCGAGTCACTAGTTTATATATATATAAAACCCTAATATGCAAATAGACTAAACAGTGAACCACCGAACAACCGGTAATTATGAAATGTGCTGACCACCAGGAGGCATGTGCAAAACATGGTGGGCATTGGCCACAGTGGTATGGTGGAACAGGTGAGTGGGGGCACCAGACCAAGGTGGGACACCGGTCATTATCATCAGGGAAAGCCTCTGGTAGTCACTGAAAATTCTTTGCTTCCCCCACACTGTGGTCCCACCCTATGCTCACACTGGCTGCCAGCTTCTGGCATTGGCCCTGATCACTCAGTGCCATCAGCGGGTAGGAGTGGCAGCTGGCCACCAGGATTGCTCCTCATAGCGTCTCCACCTCCCTCTGCTCCTGAGGGGTGAGCAGGGCCAGCAGCCACTGCTCTCACCCACTGTTGTCTATGGACCTGCTCGCACCCGCAGCTGGCACTGGCCCCGATGGCTCTGCTCCATCAGCGGGTGCGAGTGGGGCCAGCACTGTCAGCGCATGGGAGCGGCGGCCATGGCAGGAGGGGACTGCTGGCATACAGGAGACCAGGGGCTGCTGTGAAAGGGGCCAGGTGGGGGTCCGGAGGATGGGCCAGACCCGCCACTGTGCCCACTGCAGCCTCGCGGCCCACAAATCCTTTCAAGGTGCACTGGGCCCCTAGTAACAAAAATATGCACTAAAGTATAAACATGAACTAATGAATATGTTGTAATGTTAGAACAGGATGTGTTTACCTTAAATCTGATACTAGCATATTCCCAATATTCAAAATGAAAAATTATAAAGTAGTTATTAATTTATGAAAACTCTTTGCAAGCTTCATTGGAATAGTTACCTCTCATTACTTTTATAAAAAGTATTAACTTAAAAAAATCATTTTAGCCTGGTCAGTGTGGCTCAGTGGTTGAATGTTGACCCATGCACCAAAGGTCACTGGGTTCAAGTCCCCATGAGGGCACATGCCCAGGTTGAGGGCATGCAGGAGGCAGCCACTCGATGTTGATATTTGTCTCTCATTGATGTTTCTATTTCTCTCTTCCTTTTCCTTCCTCTATCTCTAAAATCAATAAGAACATATTTTAAAAAAATAAATTTTATTGATTTTTTACAGAGAGAAAGGAGCCGGATTGAGAGCTAGAAACATCGATGAGAGAAGAACATCGATCAGCTGCCTCCTGCACACCCCTTGCTGGAGATGTTCCCACAACCAAGGTACACATGCCTTTGACCGGAATCAAACCTGGGACCCTTCAATCTGCAGGCCGACGCTCTATCCACTGAGCCAAACCCGTTTTGGCAGAGCAACAGACCTTTGAAAGCCATATTGTGTAAACTTGTATCTTTTGAGTGCACAACACTGCTCAGTGCTAAGGAGTGCAAAATAAAGTGCAAGAGTTTTTCTCGGAAGCTTAAAATTTCACGGAGAAGGCAAACTAGATTCTCAAGGCTCCAGTTAGTGCAGAGCAGGCAACAAGGAGTGTTTCAGTGACCACAAGAGCATTAAGGGGGAGGGAGGGAGGTCATTGGAATGTGGAGGTTACATCACATGGTGGTCTTGGTGCAGGTAAACTACAGTTGGATTCGGAGCAGTATCCAATTAAAATGTGTGTGGGGAAATGGTGAGGATTGTGCAAGGGGAGGCTGGGGGGTGGCTGGGGGAAGGGACTAGCTGATAAAAACACTAGTGGATGGTAATGACTATAATAATATTATATGTAGGAAAGGGTAGTGAGACTAACTTTTCTCAAGCTGAGGGCCTATATTGGAGAGAATGTCACATCCAGAAAACTGAAGCTACATTGCAAGGGGCAGAGACGGGTATCACTGAGAAGGACAGTGGGAAAAATGCTGAAAACAGAAAGGAGTTCCTGTGCTTTGGGAAAAGGCCATGATCATGTCTTAATATCTTAGAGATGGTTTCTGGGGACTCAGGAGAAAAGGAGGGGAGATCAGATTTGGAAAAGAGCATCTGACTTTAGAGCAGACGAGGTTGTCCTGCCTGCTCATCTCCTCAATGCCAACCTCTTCCCACCATATCTACTAAATCATCCTTAAGAAGATAATAAGTAATAACTAATTATTATTATCTTTGTTGATGGGAATATAATTTAAATAAACCTACTGGCAAATCTACGGTTTTATCCCTCCCCTCCTTTTTTAATTCAATCTCTATTCAATTGGTAGTTAGGCTGTACCAGTAACAGTGTTAATCCATCTGTAATGGGAGATGTGGAGGAAATGTAAAAGGCAGCAAAGGAGAGAGTCCACAGAATTCTTAAGATGTAAAGACTTCAGTGGGATGCTACTGTGGCCAGCCCCCCCCCCATCACACACACACACACACACACACACATACATACACACACACTTTCTCTTATATTCTATAACACTTTTTCTCTTATGCTTACTTTTACATTTTATCTTAAAAAGATCTTAATGTATATTTTTAAAGCCATCTCATATACTTTGTGAACAAGGCTGCAAATAAATAAAATCAAAGTAAGAAAACTTCACTCCAATGCCTGCCAATATTTTTCATTTGTGTTTTCTTCCAACCTTTATCCATATAAATACATATTTTTACACATATTTGTAGTTGGCATATTTGAGTAAAAGAAAAAAAATTTTCTTTTTCAAGGAAGCATGACACAAAAGGACTGTAAATACTTTAGGGGGTCCCAGGCATAGGATCCCTGGTGACTCAACTGTCACTTCTATCCTATTGGTGGAGTGGCATCAGGTAGGCAACTCGCAGAGAGCAGCTGTGTTTAGCCAAGGTGGGTTGTGTGATAAAAGGGAGGGGACTGGCCACATGCTGTCTGACTCATCCTCTCAAGCACACGTGTCAGTTCCTCCTGCAGTCGGTACAACCTCCTTCCAAAGACAGAACATGACTGTAAAAGTAACTTTCCTGGGCTGTGAACCTCCGTGGACCAAATTTCAGGAACTAGTAAGTGCTGGGAGTCAGCAAGTCATCAATAAATCACATGCATAATAACACCATTATTACTTGCTTTGGCCCTTGTACAATTGCCCTTTGGAACTGCAGCCTCTGCTTCTGTGCACGTATGATTCTCCCCCAGGATCCGTAGCAATCTGCTGGCTATTGAAGGAATACTGAAATGGAGCTATTTTCACTATTCCTTCACTCCCTCACACTTAACATTCAAAGCTGGCATATATGTATATAAATCATATAAAATACATGTGATATGTAATATACAAAACTTCAGATCAGAGCTGCTCCATCATAATTTTTAAGATCCTTTTGGGAGGCCGGGGGGTAATAAGTAGCAAGAGATGGCAGATAACATACAGCATACTTTTGAGCGTGGATTTTAATCATTACTCTACAATTACTGGACGTGTTATCACCGACAATTTAACTTTCTGGGTCCTCGGTTTCTTTGTCTTTATTTTGGTACATTTGTGTTCTCCTCAGAGTCTGTGAGTTTCACTAGAGTGAAGAACACGAATGGCACAGTAGTTGGTCTATGCAGACAACTAGTGCATTTCTGAAGGTCATCTGCAGAAGGCTAAGAGAGTGCAGCCTGCATCATAGTGAAGAGGCTCTACTTACTAATCTGAACACAGGCTCAGTGATTTCTGCCTTCCTCCTGGTAATTCTGACTACCTAGATTACAAAAAGAGAGTTTTCTACTGAGGCCAAACAAAGCCCTCATTTACATACCAAGTGTGCTGCACTAGAATCTTGACATTCCCTAACTCCAAATTCCAGGCAAAGATTCTTTGGTTCAGGGACCTGCATATCAAGGGGCTTTGATGTTAATGGATACGAAGAACCCTAACTTATGAGAGAGAGAATTAAAAAGAAGTGGGGACCCAACTGTACTTGAGTCAGAGCATATGGTTGTGGCTCGATCTGCCTTCTGGTGATGTAGGCATAGGAATTTAATTCCTTGAAACACGGGTTCACGAAAGCTCTTTGAGCAGCTTTAGAGCTATGCTACTTTGGGAAAGTGATATAACTTCTGAGCCCCTCATCTGTTCATTTGAACCCATATTATCTGCAGTTTCTTTTCTAGGGCTCTTAGGAAGTCCATGTGATATGTAGGCACGCTCTTTATAAATGGTGCAACTCTAGAAATACACAGATATTATTATGCTCTTGTATAGGTTTTTGCTAGTTATTGGCTGATTGACTTTTTTCAACAATCTTGTTCCTGTATAACTGAACTCCTGAGCCATCTAAGATTCTTACCTCCAACAGATACTACATTTTAGGGAGAAAAGTCATTTTTCACTTGATATTTTTGTAATCATTTGTCATGATTAGGCAGAATTTTGCTGTTAAGATATGATTTTAGGGAGGCCTTATCTGTGCTCCATTCCCAAATATATTCTCAACAAACCTGCTAACATTGTAAAATTTTGAAATTGAGAATTCACTTCATTGTCACTCTTCTAGTGGAATGACATTTTAAGCTCTGTCATTCATACACATCTTATCAAGAATTGAATTCATCTAATCATTTCTATGTTTGCAATAGATGAAAGGAAATGAAACATAAGCTAATAGGGATGAGGGCCAAAGTCTCAGAGAAATAAGAGTAAGAAGAGAGCACAGTGGTATCCTAGTACTAATATTGGAATTTTACTTCCTATGGGTGGTAGACTATTTGGACTATGTCTAATGATTTATATTGCTTTCGTTCTCTAGGTGTCCAAGGATCAAACAGAATTATCTAGAAATAGCTATGTTCTACATCAGAGCCAACACAGTTGGTGTGGAGGAAAGAGAAGAGAAATGGATCTTACCCAACAGGTCTTGTGTCTTCAATGGCTCTGTCCACTGGGATCAAATCGCTGAGGTAGACATTGAAGTTTCCTTCTTTCCATCTTCTTTCTGCCTCCTTCTCCTTTCCCTGGGGCACAGCCACAGGACGTCCAAACTGCCCTGGGGCTTTGGGATCCCTTGGAGAAAGTGTCAGATCAATCCTTAATACTTGGTGCATTTTGCTATCTTTAGGTGAAAGGGCTTTTGTATGCCTTTGATTGAGTTCTTCCTGCTGGACCTTGGGATTTAAGCTGATTTTTGCTGACTTTAGTCCTCCAGCTAAGATGTGATTAGTTTGAGACACTGTTGCTCTCTGTTGAGCTAGTGAAGAGAAGGATGCCTCACTTCTGTTCTTGGAAATGTGTTTTCTTTGTCCTTCACCCAATATGAAAGGAAATACAGTTTTCATTTTAGGATGAGGGATCTGTTTGGTGTTTGTCTTTAGCTCCTCTTCCTTTGTTATAATCACAACATGGCTTTCAGAAAAGTTGAATTTCTTCCCACCAGCCACTTTGGCTCCATCATCCCTTGGCAAGTCTCCCAACTGTGCCTCATTAATAGATTGCTTCTTTAATAGATTTAAATTGGCAGAGAACTTGGGAAAGGAAAGGTTCTTATTGGCTCTGTGTTTATATGCGGTTGGATATTTTCTCTGAGCCTCAGTTTTATTTAAGGTTAAGGCTTCCCTAGATTTTGGCACTGGTGGACTGGCAGAGAATGTCCTCTCATTTGCTATGGCCTGAGATATCTGGTTTGGTCTCTCACTGTTAAACCTGATGGTCACATCCAGGTTCCTTTCAGCGGCTTGTTTTGATGTGTCACTGCTGTGACTATGTCTCTTCTGGGCCTCCTGGATTATACCAAAAGGCCTTGCGTTTAGAGATAGTTGGGGCGATGGAGTTCCTCTGGCTGCTATGAATGTGGTTTTCTGAGCCCCCTGAACTATCATTTGCTTTGTGGTCACAGGGCGAGAATAGGCTTCAGGTGTGATGGCATGTACCTCTGTCATGGGCTTGGTAAAAGTCACAGGAAAGGTCTGCAGATGTGCAGGATGCCACAAAGGTGAAATCTTGACACTTCCTGGAGCTTTCTGTATCCGTCTTTCCTTCTGGATTTGGTCCAAATCATCTTCAATCTTGAGCCCATGCTCCTCCGTCTTTCTCAAGTTCTCTTTGCCCCATAGCACTTTCCCGTGGCCCCTGAATGGGGGCTTTCTCTCTCTCCTGCTGCTGTAAAGAATTTTCATTTGGTCAGGCTGGACTCTGAACTCTATCCTTTCCCTTCTGACTACGTCTTCCTTCAGAAGGACCCTAGTGTTGATCTCACTGAATGAGAGGCGGAGAGCTGCCATGTCAAAGAGCAGCCAGATGATAGAAGCTACGAATATAAATGCCAGGACTCGCCCACTTCCGCGGAAAAACTTTCGGATCTTGTTCATGGTACAAAGGCTTCCCTTGCTGCCTGCCATCCCTTAGAGGCTGCTTACCTTGAGTGCAGAGGGAGCTGAAGCAGCAGCAGCAGCAGCAGCAGCAGCAGCAGCAGCAGAGCTGCCAGGAGGCGCCCCCCTCCCCTGAACACAGCAGGAAACAGCAGTCCAAGGGGAAAGCTCAGCTCCTACCGCTTGTCAGTCTCTGCCTGCGTGGCATTTCACAGCAGCGCATCTGTGCCTGCTGGGCTGGCCCCTGGCTCAACCCTGCGGAGCTCTGTCCTTGGGTCACTCTGGGAGCAGTTGATGCCAGCTGCCAGAGAGTTCAACATATCACTCGTCTTGTCTCCGGGAGCCCATGTCCACCTTCCTACAAGCCCAAGGAAAGGTGGGGGCCGGGCTGGGGCTGCTGCTTCTCTCCTCCCAGTTTTCAGCCTGCATGCTGTAACTCAACACCGCTTCTCATAAGGAAAACATTTCAAGCCATTACCCAGAAAACTTCATTCAGCTCTCACCTCCCGTGTTATGTGAGCGTGCGTATGTTTTCCGGGCAATAAAGGGAAAGAAAGCTATCTCACTCGGAGGGCATGTGTTCCCGGTTTGCAACCCCACCTCCCCCATTCCCGCTCCTTAACCCTGTTGTACCCAGATCTCCCAATGAGCTGCCTGAGCAATTAATCACTGACCTTAACGTTTCAGCTTTAAGAGGCAGCAGCTTACAGAGGGGCCTAGCATACTCTCACTTCCAGAGGTGGATGTGTAAGTAAGCCTTCCTTGGAGGGTTATCCAAATGTTTGTAAGTCAACTGTTTATTTTAAACGAGTCCATCTATTTTTGTTACTTTATTTAATAACGTCATATTGCTGTAAAAGTTTCTAAAGTCGTACTCTCAGTTCAGATGCTTATCTTATCACAGACCATCAGTGTGCCGATTGCACTGAATTTGGACGAGATTTTGAGTGGCACTGGTAGCTGAGCAGTTCCCACATAGGCTTTGCCTTAAATCACTCTGAGGAAGCCCCTCAAATTTCTGATTAATTGGTAGGGGGAGAAGAGGAAATGACAGTCCAGAAGCTTTCCAAGTCTTTCTAATGTAAAGCCAAAGATGAGAATCACTGGCCTACAATACAATACCTCACTGTTTTCTGTTTGTTTATTTTTATTTGTTTGTGTGCGTGTGTGCGTGTGTGTGTGTGTGTGTGTGTGTGTGTGTGTTGTTGTTGTTGTTTTGGAGGGTGGGGTTTGAACATGGAATTTTTGGGAAATTCCTTCTCATATAGAGGAAAACTTAACAACTGAATCATAACCTGCATTTTAACATCACCTGTGATCAGCATTGTCCATACACTTTGAGAAGCACATCAGCGTGACCTGCAGATGGCCATGCCACTTACCATCTCATATCTTAGGAGTATATTGTCTCTGCTTTGACATCATCTCAGGCTCCCAAAAACGTGGGGAAGGAAGAAGGAAAGCTTCTGAATTCTTTATACTTACACACTGCCTTGGCAGCACTTGGCCTTTAAGTTTATACATTGGCTCAAGGGAGGGAGCCCTGATAAACGCAGCTATGGTAGGCTTCTTGGATCCATAACTGTTTTTTTGTTTGTTTGTTTGCTTTTTATTCAGAGACTGCTAACTGATTTGGAATACCCACAGGGATTGCAACCTTGGTAGCTCTGCCATTTTCTCCATGAGCCTCTCCTCGCCTCGCCTCCTCCATCCTCCCAATGTCTATTGGGTGTTTTCCATGGCTCAGGTGCTGTATTTGGTGTCAAAGATGTTGAATAAAAAGACATACTTCATGCCTTTGAGGTTTTACAATCCGGTAGGTGAACACAAGCAGGTAGGCACATATAGAATCCTCAACAAGCAATAATGAGAGAATAATATCCCAGATTCTCTGGGGATGCAGTTTGGTTTTAAAACGCACCAATGACTTTTGAAGAAGCTAAAGATAGGCCTTAGGGATGAATAAAAACTTAACAATCTCTGCTCAGACTATAGTCTAAGAAAATAAATATTAGTTGGGTGGTGAAAGGTAGATAAATTAGCCAAAGCATAGAAGTAAAGAGAGGGCACTGTCCTTAGGGGAAGCACAGGTTTCTGAACACCAGCATGATCAAAAACACAGGCTTTGGTGTTAGCTTCTATGCATGTGTGCATGTGCCTGTGTGTGTGTGTGTGTGTGTGTGTGTGTGTGTGTGTGTATGTTCAAGATATTCCAAACACTTTGTCCAGCTCTTTTTATTGAGAACTGAGCAAAGTGTTTGGGATATCGTGGGCACACACACACACACACACACACACACACACAATGAGGAAGCCACAATTATAACTATACTTTGTTATCAAGGAAACAAAAGCTTAGAGAGATGACACAACTGGTAGAGAGTGGAGGAGCTGGATTTCAAATAAATGACTGCATGATGCTACAGTTCATGTGCTTAAATACCACACTGTACCACTTCTCTAGCTGTATGGCTTTGCAAGTTAGTTAATTTTATGTGTTTACTCAGCAGTGAAAAAGAAAAGAATTTCTGCTTTTCAGGTTAATGTGAAAATTTCAGAATATAATTTAAAGGTCTTGTTACCTAGAATGTACTCCACTAATGATAGTCACTGCCATTAATACTGTTGCAGATAGGAATATGAGTACAAGTGGGATAGAATATACTAGCTTGTATTAAAAATTAAATAGAAGATCGATAACTAACATGATTTAAGCAATGGAGCACCAAGTATATGTGTATTTTTTTCTGCTGCTCCTATTTCCTCTTATTATGGATTTTATTAATGAATAATTATTTACTGAGAGATAATTACACGCCCCCAAATGAAATAGGAGACATTGTTTCTGCTCCTAATGACCTTAAAACTCCACTGACTAGAACACCCTCAACCCAAACATGGCACAACTATTAAGGGTCTATATGTTCAAAAATAAAATGAGAAATGTTTGTTTTTTTTCTTTTTCAGTATCAGGGATAAGTGATTTACATTAAAGAGAATAATGATAAGCTAGACATGCATCACTGAATTTGAATTTAATTTAAATTTTGGGATTACAGTTTGAAGACAATATAGAATAAGGAAATTTGAATAGGAAAACTTAGTAAATATTACATATTGTTTTGCTTCCTTATTTTTAACATAGTCATTTTTTTTCTTCAAAAATTTTTTTGAGAAAAAGACACATTGTATTCAACAGAATAACACTATCCTGTGAGCAAAACCCACCCACACACAAAGAAAATGTTAAAATCATAATTTAAAGGCTGCCATAATTGCAAAATCCATGTGTAGCATACACATAACAAGTGAAAATCTTATTCCATTTAACCTGTTCTTCCCTTGAAGAGTATGAATATAACAGTGGCAGCCATTTACACATTGGTGTATATCTCCTTTTTTATAAGTTTTGGAAGCTGCTTAAGAAAGAGCCTCAGTCCCTAAGGTCCAGAGAATGAGGCTGCTGTGATCTTCTCTTAGACATTTATTTTGAAAATGGTTCCTTGTATTAGTGGTGGTACATACATCATAATCAATTAAGTCTGACTTAAAGGAAAGATAATATACTGTGCTTAGACTTCAGTTTTCATTTGATTATTGAAAAGTGGGGACAATCAAACATTAGTGCTTTATAGGTCCCTTACCAGTATTAATATTTTATTTTGATTAGGAATAAAGTTAATAAAGTTAAAAGTGAAAATTTAGTTTCTTCTTTGGATAAAGAACTGTGCTAGGTTTCATAAGGGAGAAAATGTGATCTGCCTTAACCATTTTGGCTCAGTGGATAGAGTATCGGTGTGTGGACTGAAAGGTCCCAGGTTCAATTCCAGTCAAGGGCATGTTCCTTAGTTGCAGGCCCAGCCCAAGTAGGAGGTGTGCAGGATGTTTCTACCTCTCTGTTCTACTCCCTTCCTCTCTGTAAAAAAGCAATAAAATATATTTTAAAAAGAAAGAAAATGAGAAGATCCCTGAAGGACAAGTTGTCAGTGAACCCAAAACTTGTAACTCAAATACTAAGTTAACATAGGTTTGATTAATTATAAATTTGGGGATAAAAAGAGAAAATAGCTCATGGAGATTCTGATAAAGGTGTCATTAACTGAGACAGAAAAATGCTTTGAGTGAAAAGAGAAGTTTAGGTTTAAACATGTTGGATTTGAAATATGTGTGAATTATATAATCATATATACAGTGTATCTCCCCAAAATGTATACATATTTTAACAGCTGATACCTCAGTTTTGAAAATGAAATGTATCTTTGCAAATAATAAATACATATATGCTTATTTAAATTCAAGCTGTACAGCAAAATTTGGAGTAAAATTTGAAAGCTCATCTTCATATCCATCCTATTAAATGTCAAATAAGCATATATGCATTTATTATTTCCAAAAATAATTTTTAAGAATAGACAAACATATACCCAAATGTTAAAAGTGCCTACTCTAGATCACCAAGTTTCTAGTGGCTTTTAATTTATTTTTAATTTTATCTAACTGTGTTTTGTAATTCTACAATGTTTAAAGTTTTGTTTAAAGTTTTGTATGTATTTATACAATTTATACACATGTAAACTACAGTGTAAAGAAACTGGTAAGTCTCATATTAGAAAAACAAAGTGGCTGGTGGACATAGAAAAGACTTTTTCTGAATCCCCTTTGTGCCTTTTCCTATTTGCATCTATCAGCTATTTAGAAAAGTAAGTAAAATTATATACAAACCAGAGGCCGGTGCATGAAAATTCATGTAGTGGAAAGGGGTTTCCTCAGCCAGGCCTTCCCCCTCTCACAGTCCGGGAGCCCTTAGGGGCAGGAGGCAACCGGCAATCAGGGGAAGGTGACACTCCATCACACCTCTGCTGCTGCCACTGCTGGCAGTGCAAGCCTTGGCTGACTCCAGTTACCTGAGCCTTGGACCGGCCCTGGGTGGCTAGGCAGCCACCATGGAGGCTTGCCTGCACCTCAGCTGACCCTGCTTGTCTGAGCCTCAGTCAGTGGGGAGTACAGGATTACCTGAGGCCCCCAGCAGG